TGTTTTCCCCAAAAGCACCTAGGCTTAATGAAGGGGATCACCATATTAGAAATATAAAATCTATTGATTCAGGCTTACACACAGACACATAAACAACACACACAGGTTGCAATAACAATGAGTTATACACACTAAGCTAGGATATATTAATTAAGCAATCAAGCAATGACCTCAGAAAAGCAATTAGTGTGAATTAAAATTTTGTACTTTGCAAAAAAAAGCACAGTTGACATCATAAGTTCCAGACTCGACCCCATACAATAAGAAATTTAGTTTCATAGCATCAGTACTCAATGACCATGTTTCAACTAGAATATTAGTAGCAGAGGTAAGGAGGACATCACGTTAAGCGGCATACCCAGGGCAATACAAGAAAAAGTGCTTCACCAATTCAGAGTTAAAACTGCACTCGCAAATAGGTGACACACCACTATTAATTTTAAAGAGATGTTCTCTTAGACAAGAAGACCCAAGTCTAAGGCATGTGTGATCAACAGATGCATGCCTTGTAAAAGAGCAATCATATAACCTATTATAAGTATGCAGAAAGAGCATTGACCGAACTTTAAAAAGGTACCGGAATTAGTTCAACATCATTAACAAAACTACTCTGAGAACAATACAGAATGCAATCCATAAAAAAGAATAAACAAACTTAAAACATCACACCGAGGCCAAGGGATTTTTTTTTCTATGGCGTTTCAGGGTTGCTTTGGTTTTTTTCTTTGATCTTCTTTGGCTGCCACAGGTTGTATAAAGCATTTGTGTTCTGTAAGTTTTCCATATTCATGGCATATGAAGCATTTGTCAAAGTAGCATTGGTGAGGTTCTTTTGACACTGAGGGTTCAAACTCCTTACGACACATAGGGCATTGAACAATGCTGTCGCAGATCTTTTTCTCTTTATGCATGTCATAACATGTCTGACTGTAAAACTTTCGATAGATAGATAGATAGATAGATAGATAGTTTATTTAAATATACCTAGCAGCCTTGCGGCTGAATTGCGTATATTACAATAATGTAATTAAAAAAAATATATTATATAACGTCTATAAGAATATTCAAAATTATAAACAATTAAAAAATCTATGAGCTAAAACCTATCTATATTTAAAAGCTATATTTACATTATCTACATAGGTTTCTAGGAAACGGTCGTTAATTAACTGTTGTTGTTATATTTAATGGTGGAGGCCATCATGAAGGTGTTTTTAAGACGGTTTGTCCTCCACCGGGGGATTTCGAAACGCCTGTTACGTCTTAAATTGTGCTTTGGATGGTTGGCACTAGGCAACAATTCACAAAGCCTGTGATTGTCGTTTTCGATAATGTTGCTAAAGAGATTGCGGCAGCTGTCTTCCATATAAGCCATGATCGGTGGAATGCCGGCAGCCTCTAAAATCTCGTGATAGTCTTGGCCTGAGCTTATAATAGAGAAAGCTCTTTTTTTGAAGGCGCTCTAACTCCTGCTGCAAATATATAGGTAATGCATAATAGAAAACAGGAGTCGCGTACGTTTCGGCAACAAGAATAACAGGGTACTTCGTGTAAGGCTTAATCAGGTTTTGAGCTACATTCTACTTGCTTGCATGCATGACATCTTTGACCCTCACATGGATGATGTCTGAAGTCATTATGATCAAATCCCTTGTTGCACTGATCACAAAAATAGGATTGTTCTATAAAACCAGCGTAAGATGTGCAAATGTCATAGTGACCAATCTCAGATTTGCTGTGCTTCTGGAGCAAGAGGCAGATAATATGGGGTGCTTTTGGGCCTACAAATACCATCACGTAGGGGTAGGAAGTTGCCATCGCTTTCAATTGGTAGTTTGGTGCTAGGAAGTCTTGAAATTTTTTCAATTCTTTGTGCCCGCATGCCCCCAAAGGTACCCCCACATCTTCATGGAGTTAATGAGCCATTTGTGATTGAACAGTCTCACATCTTTTTACATTCTCGTAATCAATTTTCTGTCGATATCCCTCATCTTTATGGATCCATGCTTTTGCGACACAAATGGCTCTTGCACAACACAATTCGTCTGAATTTGTAATTTGAACCACGGAATGTTTCTTTTTTAAAATTTCTGCCAAGGATCGCTTTCCCACTAGAGCTTTTTGTCTACCACTTTTACCACCTTTCGGCATTCGAATAAAGGTAAGGTCGGCGTTAAACTTAGAAGAGGATTTAACTGATTCTCCTAAATTCAATTTATTGGCCATGGTAGTCATGTAATTTTCAAAGCGTTCTGAATTCTTCATGATTTCTTCTACTTTGAATGTGGCTGATTGTTGGGCGTCGGCAATTGATCGGATTGTAAGGTGAAATGGAACGCGCCATGAGATGAACCTTTCTTTTGCTGAATTTGTTTCCTTATCGACCCAAAAATAACCCAAAATAAATTTCAATAAGAGTCTATCCCCTGAAACTTTTTTTCAACACACATTTTTTAAATTCTTACCTCGCTAACGCATTTGTAATGTCTTTTCCGATATTATCACCATGGGATGGAGTTTGTGTCTGCTTGAGGGTGGCCTCATATCTTTGTTTATCCGCTGTCTTTTTCCAATTTTTCCGGAATCCAGCATTTTGAAATTCAAAGTTAAAGAGAGCACCACCTGATTGTTCCACACCCAAGTCTATATTGAGGGCATCCAATTGTTGTTGGTCCAATTGATCATAAAATTCATTGAGTTGATCGTCAGATATTTCCCCACCATACTGTTGTTTTTCAAGTTTATCATAATGTTGATTTAATAGGTCATCCGAGATACTATCCTCTTCCTCCACATCATCATACTTTCTTTTTGCCATCATCGAATAAATCTACAACTAACAAGACATGACACAAATATAAGTTTTACTCGTATTTTATTTACAAACGTTCTAATGCCCTTTACATGATTCATATATATCTTCTGGATTTTTTATGTATTCTTTAACCAATTCAGTTGCAGTTTTCAGGTTTTCCTCTTTAACAAGTTTTAGGAGCTTGAAAAAAACGCGAGTCCAGTAAATTTTCTGTTGGGTTTGGGCTTCAAGAATTCTTTCATAATCAACCATGTCATCTTGGCACTCAAGACAGATATAAGCAACTGTATGGTCCTAAAAAAGTAAAACATTTGTAACATATTAAAAAAGCTGCTTGCCTGCCACGACAGTCTTGTTTTGACATTATCATACTCACCTCCAAAGTTTTGTTTTCTTGTTGGGCCATGAAATCTTCAGTGTGTCTTTTCAGGATTCTTCTTGGTTTTATGATCTTCTCACTTTACTTCTGCAACTTTTAAGATAAGAGTGGGCAAGTTCTAGTGATTTGAGTTAAAAAGTTTATTGAGGCTGTTTTGTCTACGGAAGTGTTTCTTATTATTTGTTGGAACGTATTTAGAGTCAGAGAAAGACACACAAATGTAAGGTTTAACTCTGCTTTTTTTTTTGCATTCACTGTATCCCTAAGTTGACAAAACATTTTCTGTAGCTTGCATAATTGAGCCTACATTGAAGCAAAATTACAAGTTCGTTGAACATGGTGTGTTTTTTTGAGGTTTAGGTCTAGGTCTGGCTTTGTTGACATGCAGTCTGGATTCTGGAAACCTGAGAACTGTGCTTGTCTGTCAAGCACAGGTTATCTAGTAGGTGCTGCTGGTCTTTAATGACCTGATTGTTTGCTGCTAATTTTTTTCCTGTTGTTTGATCATGACGGTAAGCAGCTCCTATGGGCTCTGTGACTGATCTGGTCTAAGGCTGTCTGGAATACTGCATGTTTTCTCAGGACTTGGAGTGACAGTTTACATTTGGCCCATCTGGTCTCCAGTGTAGTATGGCAATTCTGGATGGATTTTCCACCCTTGTCAGCTTTGTGTTTTTTAGGAGCTGGTTCTGTGGCTGGAGTCTCTGTAGTTGGACCGTAATCATTATGTGGTCTTTTAGATGACTTGATCAGTGATAATTTGGGCACTTGGCTGGAGTTCTAAAGAGAACTGTTTGGCATGCTTTTTAATGCAATACTGGTTTTGGAACCAAACGATTGAATCCTTCATCAGTTGTGAGTAGCTTTTTTACAAGAGCTAGTGCTGTGGCTTAAAACTCAAGTCTCTTTATATAGCATACTTGTGCCAGGGTAGGAACCAAATATAATGGAAAAAGCACCAAATGTAATGGTGTGTAAACTGAACATATTGGAAAAGCACCAGATATAACGGTGTTTGAACCGAATGTAATGAGCTCTGCACCCTATATCATGAAAATAGCATTGATTATAAAGACAGAGGTACAGAGTATAATGAAATAAAACCAATGTAAGAGAAAAAAGCACTATGAGACAGTTCTGGAGTTCCATAGATGTGGTTGTGTTTTTCAACAAACAAACAGCACAACTCCCAGTTTAAAACAGGACAAAAAAACTTTTAAGTACTCTACAATGCAATTCCTTTCCTTCTTACCTCACTAACCAAAAACTAGCAAGGTTTTAAAGCAAACTTAAGTCACAAAAACCTCTAGCTGAAGGTAACACTTCTAAGCACAGTAATGTAGATACTAAGTATAATAACAAAACACTGAACTGAACATTTTTGTTCACAATTTGGAAAGGTATATAAGTGCTGGTGAACATGAGAATTTTTATCTGTCAGTAGATTTTCCTTTACCCTAATGAAAAAATGGTGAGTTGCCTCACCAAAGTAACCACAGTTACATCCAGCATAATTAAAGGCATTCGGAATAGGCCTTATTCGTATTCCCGGATTGGTCTGGGACGAGTGTTTTGTTTCGCGCGAAAGCGAGGCTCATGCGGGGGAAAATTAAAAATACCCTTTGACACAGCTGGAAAAATACGGAGAAAGTCACTTTGGTTCGCAGTATTTGACGGCAAAATCATGGTTAAACATAACTGCTGTGCATATGGCTGCTCCAACAGCACTGAAAAACAAAAAAACCATCTGAAATATCCAGAACTCAAAGGAATAACGTTTCACACTTTTCCAATCGGCGACCGAAAGAAGACTTACGCACCCGGAATGAATGAAAACGAGAGAAGAAAAAGGTGGATAGCTGCTTGTCGTTTAAGCAGTTTAAATGTCACAAGACATACAAGAATTTGTTCAGCACACTTCGAAGGTGGTTTAGGACCCTCAAAGCTTAATCCTGTCCCAACAATTTTCAGTTTCCCGACTCATTTGCAGCCCAAAACCCGACGGAAGCGAACAGATCCAGAGGAAAGGAGACGAGGAGCTTTGAGCTGCATACAAAACAAAACCAAGACTGCACCAAGGAGACAAGCAGGTAAAACTGACAAAAACAAGGAAAACCCGGAACCATTGGGCCTGTCATCACAACTGCAGGAAACTGCGTGCTCGAGCGACATGGATTTTATTTTTTCTGAAGAGTGTGAGATTAAAACTGAACAGACACCTGATCCAAGATCCCTTGCAGACAAGTGTATCCAAACCGACCTTACCTGTGAAGATATCGACTGCATGGAAGCAGCCAAAGCTAAACTGGAAAATAAACCAGAACTGAAGAGAGAAATGTTTATAGACGACGTCCTAAAAAGCAACAAGTCCGTGTGTTTCTACACTGGATTGCCCTCCTATGCCTGTCTTATGATGTTGTTTCCCTTTCTGAAACCATTTGCAAATGCAATGAAATATTGGGACAACAAGAAAAAGGGACAGAGGGAAACGTATCAGGTATCTTAATATTATTACACAGCAGTCTTGTTAATATTTCCTTTCATTTGTTTTGATGAACATTATGGCATAAAATGTTTACACAGCAGTCTTGTTAATATTTCCTTTCATTTGTTTTGATGAACATTATGGCATAAAATGTTTCATGTTTGGTATAAATAGCAATATAGACCCTATGCAAAAATGGGTACCTTTGAATTTTTTTGTTCGTATTCAAAATAGCCTCACTAACCTCGATCGGGATAACATATTCTTTACAAATTTTGTCTCAAAAACGACGTTAGCGAGGCTTTTTTAAATATGAACAAAATGATAATATATGCATAGGGTCTATAACATGATATATTATGTTATTATGATTTCCAACTATGTGATAATTGCCTAAACATTTTGCTTCAGCAACTCAACTGCACGTTTTTACTTTTATTACAGGAAGATGAACATGTTAACAAGCCGGGACCAAAGAGGCAGATGCCATTATTTTCTGAATTTTTAATGGTTCTTATAAGACTCAGGCTTGGACTGTTACAGAGTCACCTGGCAGACATTTTTGCAATTTCACAAAGTTCAGTTTCCAAGATTTTTACAACTTGGATTAATCTTTTGTATCATGTATTTAAGGAAGTTCTTATAATATGGCCTGCAAAGGTTCAAATTCAAAAGCACATGCCTAAGAGCTTTAGTAGGTATCCTCGGACCCGTGTAATTATTGACTGTACAGAGTTTTTTATAGAGAAGTCCACTCAACCTTCAGCTCAGAAAATTACTTGGAGTGATTACAAGTCACATAACACTTTCAAACTCTTGGTTGGTATTTCACCCACTGGAGCCTTCACATTTGTCTCTAAACTTTGGTCTGGTGGGGTCTCTGACCGAAATATAACTCAGAAATCTGGACTGATAGACAAGCTGGAACCTCTAGATGATGTGATGGCTGATAGAGGATTCAATATTAGAGATATGGTCACAAAGAAAAAGGCCACATTAAACATTCCCCCCTTTGCAAAGGGGAAGTCCCTTTCAACAAAGGCATGTACAAAAACCAGGAGAATAGCTGCAGTTCGCATACATGTGGAAAGAGCAATCCAGCGGCTCAAGTGTTTCCGAATTTTACGTGGTGTGATACCTATCACCCTTGCTGCAGTTGCTGATCAGACTGTGTTTGTATGTGCAGCACTGTGTAACTTAATGAAGCCTCTTGTTTCAAAGTAAATGTCTAAATAATTTTCTTATGTCGGTATAAATCATATGATTTTTGATCGAACTAAAAAAAAACAATGAGCATGTAACCCCTTACAGTAGCTACTATACTAGGTATAAATGGAATAGTTATGCATTTACATAGGCTCAATGTCACGAAAGGTTCATATTTGGAAGTTGAGTTTCTACATTATATGTATATTTATTTATCTGTACTATATAACACTGTACGGTTCTGACCATATTTAACCTTTGGAAAAGCTAGTTCTGGTAAAATGACCGAGTCAAAAAATGAATCCAGCTTAACTAGCACTGGAGACCAAAACTCTTGATCAAACAACACTTTCTCAACATAAATACCACCATCCCTGCCACAAGCAACAAATATGCCCCAGGGATACGTTGTTGCAAACATTTGTTGATGTAGTTGATAAAAGTATTTATGATTTCTATTAAGGGCTATACCATTGCTTCTTTTTATACAAATATGCTGTTTCAGTAAAATATCTTCAAGGGTTTCCCCTGACTTCACCTGAAGAAATTTCATCTCAACCACACCTGGGCTAGACTCAGACTGATCATATATTATTCTATCTGGAGAGGCACCAATATGTCCATGGGTCTTGCTAATGACAAATCCACACTTTTCGACTTTTATATCAGAATGTCCATTCTGTTTCATGTATTTTATTAGTGCCTGTTCAATTTCATCCTCCTTTGCCAAGCCCTCCTTCATGGCAGCTGTTAAAGGCACTTGGTTGTAACTCAAAACTTCCTTTAAAGCTTTAGTTGGAGATGTGGTTAATTTCAAGCTTGCAATACGTTTACAATGAGAAGCGGTGATTCTTCCTGTTCTGTACTGAAACCAGTCAATGGCATCACTCTGCAGTTTTGTCTTTTTTTCCACTGCATCAATTTCATCATCTGTAAACTGAAGTTTTCTTTTTATTGCCTTGCCCCTTTCTTTAATCTCATCCAGACTGGGTGGCAAAGGTTTCATTGGTGATAAAGAATCTAATGTAAATGTAGTAACAATTGAATTTTCCTCTCTTATGTCATTTACATTTTCTGAATCAAGTTGAGGATGTTGACCATTACATGTGTCTGGGTCAGGTAACAGATGCAGTAATACAGCTGAAGGAACAGTTTCAGCAACAAGCTTTCTAAAATTCTCAGCCAAATTTACATTCGTATCATATGAAGTTCTGGGGTCATAAGTATCACACCTTGGTTTTAGTCGCTTCTTTTTCTCTTTGTTCAGTGTGGGTTTTGTAAAATCCATGGCTGATCCTTTTGTCATGCCCTCATGAGTCCTCTTCCGTTGTTTCCAAGTGCACTTTCTCCCTGTGCAAGTTATTACAACATTTTCTCTCAGTGTAGCTTCAAGGTCAATAAGTGTGCACGCATAAAACGGTACGACAACACAAACTTGAACACGCGTACTTGTAATTATGAAATGGACTTTACAATCTTGAACGAACGTTGTACGGTTTCGAAAACTAAAGGAAACAAAGGAAATTTACAACTATAAATACGGAAAAAGGCTAGACAAACAAGAAACGAAACCAAAAAAAACTTACGTTTGTGTCCTTATAATATAAACGATGACGTTAAACGGGCGTTGAAACGATTCTCCACTTCGATCGAGCACATGTATTTTTTAACTCGCAGCGCCTCTCGGGATCTAGCTAATGAGTGCGTGACATCACGCATAACGGCAGTAACATTCCCGACCCCTTAAGCGATGCTTAACATGGAAAGTTCTTAGCTACAAAATAAAGTAGTAATTATGAAAAATAACTTGTCATGTCCTTTGCTAAAGCTAACGGGTCTAGTCCGTCACACAATCCGCTTAAAGAAATAGGGACTATGAATATTCCATGAAGGTTCAGCCCTTACGAGCTTCCTGTTTCATTGTTCATTATCGAGGCACGATTGTTCTTCCTTAGCTAGCAAGAGGACAACCTTGTCAACTGGTCTGCGTAGTTGGGAGGTTTGGGTCTTCAAATGAACCGTGCGTACCAACCCCTTCTTGTCTGATTCCGCGCTTATGACTCGTCCCATCGGCCAAACACTCCTCGGGCAGTTGTCGTCTTTCAACAGGACAACGTCTCCGACAGCTAGATTCCGTTTGGGACTGTTCCACTTCGAACGAGGTTGGAGAGTTGGGAGATATTCTCTCTTCCAACGCGTCCAAAATAAGTTTGCCAAGTACTGCACTCTCCGCCAGCGCCGCCTCATATAGACATCTGCGCGTTGAAAAACTCCTGCTGGGGGAAGTACAACGCTGGTCTTCATCGTCAGGAGATTGCTGGGACTTAGTGGGTTGAGGTCATCGGGATCACTCGAAGCGAATGTTAGCGGTCTCGAGTTAATGATAGCTTCAACTTCACATAGTAGAGTTCTAAAGGATTCGTCATCCAGACGGGAGCCATGCTCATGGAGTAGAACAGTGAGTACTTTGCGGGTAGTGCGAATCTGCCGCTCCCAAATGCCGCCCATGTGGCTGGCACTCGGTGGGTTGAAAATCCAATCTGTACCCTCTAGATGCAGCCTGCTTCTGATTTGCTCGTTGTTCATTTCGTAAACTGCTTGCTGTAACTCTGTCTTGGCGCCTACAAAATTTGTTCCGTTGTCGCTCCGGATCTCTCGGATAGGCCCACGACGAGCAATAAATCGCCTCAGAGCCTGGATAAATGAATCTGTTTCGAGAGAATTGGCGGTCTCAATATGCACTGCTCTACTTGCTAAACATGTGAAAAGGCATCCGTACCGTTTGAGTCCCTTTCGACCTTCTTTGATCATGTACGGACCGAAGTAATCCACGCCAGTATACGTAAATGGCGGGGCTGGAGTCACTCGGTCTTTAGGCAAGTCAGCCATTTTCTGTTCAGCGACAGGGGCACGATTACGGCGACAAGTAACACAATTTGCGATTAGGTGACGAACAGCAGCATTGGCACCGGTGACCCAGTACTTCTCCCTCAATTTAGCAAGTGTGTGACCGCGGCCTGCGTGTGCTAGGCGTTCGTGTAGGCGTTTGATAATCAAGTTCGTAACGTGACTCTTGCGAGGTAAGATGATGGGGTGTTTCGTTTCTTCTGGAAGATCGTCAGCGCGGCTAAGGCGGCCACCAACACGAAGGAGGCCTTCATGAATGTAGGGATCCAGCCGAGTTAGGGAACTTGCTTTCTTCAGCACCATTTTCTTTTGCTTTGCCCGACCCCGTTCGTCTCCACCGCCTTTGTCACTGACTTGTCTGAGAGCGTCAAACTCTCTACTGAAGGACTGCAACTGTACGAAGCGAAGGATGGCCATCTCGGCCTCTTCAAACTCTTGAACTGAGAGCGGTGCGCAGCAGTCACCCACTACCTTCGTTTCAGCTTGTAGTGACTTCACGCCCGACCTTGCCTGACCATGGTCCGAATCTATCTCGAGAGAACCCTGGCCTCTAATCTCCTTCCGTTTTCGCAATACAGCCTTGATTCTAAGGAATGCGGCCACCGACAATCTCAGGCGATACCAACTCGAGTGGTATTCTATTAGTTTGTTAACTGACGTAGCCGTGGCTTCCATTACCATGGTACCGGCGGAAGCAACTTTTCTGACCTCAGGGTCGTCATCTGGGACCTCACCGACTGGAAAGGGCTGCTGCGGCCAGTCCTTTTCTGATTTCCCTAGGAAGTGTGGACCATTTGACCAGCGTTGCTGCTGCAGAAGTCCAGCGGCGGAAAGTCCTCTCGAGGCATCATCTGCCGGATTGCTACTGGTGTCCACGTATTTCCACTGCATAGGACTAGTGAAGTCCCTGATCAATTGCACACGATTTGCCACGAATATCTGAAACCTCCTCCGCTCGTTTCTTATGTAGCGGAGAACCGTCGTCGAGTCGGTGTGATAGATGATAGACTCAGGCTTAACTTCAAGCTCTTCATACAGCATTTGTCCCACGCGAACAGATACGGTTGCTGCAGTTAATTCTAAGCGTGGGACTGTTACGGCCTTAATAGGTGCAAGACGAGCCTTCCCCATTAAAAAGGAACAATGTATGCGACCCATGTTATCCATTAGACGTAGGTAGGCAACGCATCCATGCCCCACCTGGCTTGCATCGGAGAACAGATGGAGCTGTCTGGAGACAACTGGGCCAAAACCCGGCGGTTTGTGACACCGATCAATGTGAAATTGCTCTAGTAACGGAAGCTCTCCACACCATCTTAGCCATTTACTGCGGCAGTCTTCCGGAATGTCGTCATCCCAGTCGAGATCTTCATTGCGGCAGAGATCCTGTAACAGCTTCTTCGCTAGAAGTGTGAAAGGAGCGATGAAGCCCATGGGATCAAAGATTGATGAGATGGTGGACATGACTCCTCGTCTTGTAAACGGTTTGCTGTTAATGACGATTCGAAATCCAAAACAATCTGATTGTACGCACCACTGTATCCCTAAGGCACGCTCGATAGGGAGGTTGTCACAGTCAAGGGTTATTGATCTGACTTCTTTCGATCGCTCATCCTCTGGTATAGACTCTAAAACTGCACGACTATTGGAAGTGAATTTGGTGAGGCGGAATCCACCTTTCTTACAGGATTGCCGAAGACCTTCAATCAGCTCGACTGCTTTACCTTCCGAGCTTACGGAACGTAGACAATCGTCCACATAAAAGTTATTTCGCAGCGTGTCAGCAACCAAGGTACCGTACTTATCTTCGTTATCCCTTGCGGTTCGCTTAAGGGCAAAGTTAGCGACGCTTGGCGACGAGGCCGCTCCAAATAAATGTACAACCATCCGATACTCTTGTAGCTCGGCTTCTAGATTGCCATCTGGCCACCATAAGAAACGGAGGTAATCATACTGTTCAGGAGGAACTGTAACCTGGTGGAACATGGATTCCACATCTCCCATGAAGGCTACGGGGTCTTCACGAAATCTGGTTAGCACGCCTACTAGGGAGTTTGTCATATCTGGACCTTGCATCAGACAGTCATTGAGCGACACGCCCTGAAACTTTGAACT